AGAGCTGCGATTTGTCCATAGTAGCCAATGTGTGTTCCATCTTGCATAAAGTGCCATTTAGAAGAGACCTTGAGGTGTGAGTTTATTGGCCAGGGAATTATCTCTACAGTTCCTTCTTCGATATAAAACTTCAAGACTTTTTCCATCAGATGGCTGCAATTGTTCTTATAAATCACCACTTTCTGTACCCCAAGAATCTTATACATTTCCATACTCTGTATAAATTGCAAAACATTGTTGTAATTTCCAAACATGGCAGAGATGCATACAGTAAAGTCAACAGAAAAGGCCTCAGCCTTGCGGTTTTTAATTTCAAACCTTGGCAGCTGGTCAATATTTCCATGTGGAGACTGATGAATTGATACATGTGTCGGATCGCAGTTTTCAGGTTCCAAACAAACTATATCTGCTGCACCGTAAGGGAATCCAAACCTATCTGAGTGAACATCAATTTTTGCTTTTGATAGATATATCTTTCCGTCGGGCTGACAGCAGAACCTGCAGTACAGTTGTTTTACATCTTCATGGTGAACAATCCCAATCACACGAGTGACTTTGCCTTCTCTGTCATCAAAGTATGGGGATATAATAAAAGTTCTGTTATCTTTTAATGCTGTTATTGTGCTATTAGTAATTTTCCCTCTACATCTGCTACCCTCTTGAATTACTTTTGGCAGGTGTGAAAGTCTCTGTAACCTAAGATAAGAAAGTGTGACCATTGAAGTTAGAGTAACAATGCACACAGCAGCAGCCAAGTATGATTTTTTCCCACCACACAACATTTTGAATGTATCTAAATGTGGATGTGAATTTCTTTGTCCTGGCACTTTATGCTGCCGCATCTGCAGAAAAGAAAATATGTAGTATGAGATAATATTGACTCATGATCATTGCTCAAGAGTTTCACAAACAAGATGGGGGGGAGCAAATGTCTATCATTGTGCACTGACTTAATCAGAGACCCAGCTACTGTGCTTTTATGAAAAATCAATCACAGAACACACCTTTAACGGGATGGACGATACTGTGTGTGACTCTGAATGCCTCTATATGCTGGATGTTTGGAACAGTTTCTGTATATGGAGGGCTCTGTGAGAGAATATGAAAGAGGTCTATATACAGGAGAACAAAAAGCCGTTAATCATTATTTTCTGTAATCCAAATTTTAGGACATCCATTTAAATAACTAGGCAGTAATTTTTAAAGCAAAACAAAAGCTTTTTTCTCTCTACGCAGTGTATAAGTAAATTATACACACAAAAACCCCCTCAACCAGACTTCTCACAGACAAGTTAGAGGCAGATATAAAATTAAATTAATACAGAATTAATCAAGTTCATAAAAAACACGGCAATTGTGGATTGCACATGATGGTCCAGATAAAATCTCTAATGTATAAATTCCCTAACTTGCAGTTCACCACAGATGAGACAATACATACAGAGGAAGGTCAATTCATACAATTCAGCAGAAGACAGGTGAAATCTATGGGGGTACAAAACTTTACAAAACTTTTTCTCAATTATCAATCAATCAACTGTACCCTACTTAGCACTGTACAAGGCAGGGCTTGCAGGGAAGGTCACCTCATATTCTGCTTGCTAGAGATCTGGGCCTCCTCACACTGCAGTAATGGTGGCTCAGCTCCTGGCATGGTTTGGGGGTCAGGTCTTAAACTCTTGCTGCTGCAGGAGCAGATAGACATCCCTGAGTACCTGGATGGCCAAAGTCTTTAGCAGCACTCATGTGCTAGCAAGTGTTAATGCCTGACAGGGAGCTCATGGCACTCTCAAGCAGTAATTTCTGCAAGTGGAGGTCTGATTAAAGTTTCCTCTAAAATTTATCTTTAAGCATCCAGATATGATCCATAAACAGTAAGGTGACAGCAGGTCTCTTCAAAGCCCTGCTTGTACCACAGAGATTCCTGGAAGAAGAGTGCCCCAGATTAATCAAATTCATGTTAGGTCAGAAAACTGGACTGGTACAAAAGAGTATCCCCAACTGCCAGCAAGAAGTGTGGGGTAAAACGCCAAGATGGAATAAACTGATTCTACTGCACAACATGAAGAAAGTTGGCATGTAATTGCTGCATAAAGCCAGCTGCTGAGAAAAAAAATCATACCACTTAAAGACCCAGATTTCCAGCTATATGTTTCACAGCTAAAGAGGTAGCAATGTCATAGGTGTAGCAGATTCGGAAGATTCTCATATTTCTTGCCCTTTCATTTACTTCTCAAGATGCTTAATAAAATCACTTAAGTGCTTAGTAACTAAGTATCTTCAGAAAGTATGCACATGCTAAATATCTAACAATATTTCTTCCAAAGCATATTACTCAATCTATTCTAAAATAATAAACCTAGTATTTCATACTTTTTCATGCATTTCACACATTGTGTAAAGCTATTTTGAGAGTCTCTATCTCAATACTGTTTTATGATGGAACAGAAAACCAGCGTTTTCAAAGAAAAGTAAGAAAGATAGCTACAAAATTAGAAAGAACCTAAGTCCATAGTTTTGATCCAGATACATACTCAGCAGCTTCATAACTTCGGAAGTGCCTAAATTCACTGGCAACTTCTCTGCTTGGCTTGAAAAATTCCCCTAGGGTCTGGTTTTCTTCTTAAACATGTATTTTCCAATCAGTAAAACCTAGCTTCTGAATACAGCAATCAAGCTTCTGAATCTCAGCTGAGTTTAGGCAAAAAATAATTGCCCATGCCTTCAGAAAAATGTGCAATATTTTCACAATTGCTCTTTCCTGAAAAAGCAAAGTAAGGAGAACTACGATCACAACATACCCCTTAAAATCACCCATTTGCCAAGGCTGATATGATTTATAGCAGCCTTTCCTAGCTACCAAGAAATTGCTTTACAGACCAGAACAGTCATTAGGCACCAGAAATCTCACTACATCACACTAGGCACAAAGCAAAGAGCAGAAGCAGACAGCACTGACTCTTCTGTCTCTGAAATGGAGAGTCCCCCCAAGAAGTCCTTACAATTTAGAGTAGAACTAAAATACATAGTAAGAGCATGCTAGAGTCACACAACTTCCTGCTGGAGATTTGTGACTGAAAACAACTCAAATTTTCTAAATCTTTTTATTAGACATTCTAAAGTCAGACAAAAAGTTTTCCATGAGGATTCTTATTCCCAGGTTGTTGTATGTTTTAGCATTCTTACAACAGGTCACATTTAACTTTTTTTCTTCGGTCTTATCTATTTATGACTTAAAATATTGTTCAGTCTTATAGAATAAATAGTTTTTACTAAAGAAATATCAAACCATGTCACCATTAAATAATAAAATTAATTTATTACCTGTTATGTCTTCTGCTTTTGCTAGCTATAAATAATGAACAATAAAAAATATCTTTTCAACTGTGGTTTGAACAGTGAACATCTGAAAGGAAAAAGTACCTTTTAAAGCAGATAGCTGAGTGAAGTTCTGTTCAGTCCTCCATTTATTTTTTGTTAAGGTATAATCTACAATTTGCTTATTCTAACCAGAAAAAAACTTAAATATTTAAGATAAATTGCAGGAATTGTTCAATACTGAACAACACTGAAGAAAAAAATGCTGGTATGATACCTAAGACACTTGCCAACACATTTTATTTGATGGGCGGCATTCTTTAAAGTCAGTAACAGCAGCCACACCTACCAGAAAAACAAGTTTTCCTTCTCTTGAGCAAAGCATACAGTTGCCTCCCAAGAACTTAATTTAATTACAAACTTGAGTGTGGAGTTGTTGAAACAAATCACAGCTAGGTGCTTGGGTGTGATTGCTTAAGGTTGCTTAAGTTTCCTTCTGGAAATTAATCCTGCATGTTGATGTATCCACAGTTCCCACAAATACTTAAAGAGAACTAGAAAAATACACTGTATATCTATTTCCTAGGCAATCATTTTTTTCATAACATATTGTAGGCCTAATTAAAATAGGTAAATACTGATTCTGATGAGGAACTGTGAGAGTTTCAGAGGAAACAACAGCAGGTTCTAGAAGCAGAGGAAAAGAGCAAAACATAGAACTGAAGACACACCAGAACAAAGAATCTTAAAGAAAAGTAAGAAATGTAATTATTTGAGGAGCAAAATTCATGCTTTTCCCAACATGTGACTCATTAATTTTGATCCCTGAAATTAACAGCACAGATATGTAGTCAGAAAATATATAAAGTCAGATTAATTAGGAAAATTACATTCATATTTCCTCATTAGAGTACTTGGCAAATGTTAACTTCAAAAATATGCTTCCAGTGTATTTAAAAGAGTTTATTTTATAATAACAATAATAACAACAATAATTCATTCCTGTTTTGTGTCTTTTCATTCCAATTACTATTCATGTAGAACATGATACAAATTATGCAGATTTGCTTTAACGTAAAATTTAGCTAATGGTATCAATGGCTACTTTGCACCAGTTTGTTCTTTTTCAGTATTCCCCTTAATAGTAAAGAGCCTTTCTTCCTTCCTATTGCATTTATGGACTGCAGTCATTATCACCTCCTAGTCTTCATATTTGCTACTTTTTCATTAAACAAGACAGGCTTTTCTAACACCACCTCATAAGAAACACTCGTCCTTGCTCAGTTGCTTCTGTGCAGTTGTCCCAGTTTCAATTAATCTCTAGTACAGGAGACCAGAAATCTCTGTTCTTTGTGCATTTGTACATGACGGTGATAAGCCCTCATCATTGCTGGAAATCTTCTTTCATAATGCATGCTAGGATTATATTTTCTGCAGATGCATCTCATTGCACATATACATCTGAGCTTGTCATCAGCCAAAGATTAATACCTCTACCCAGTCCTTCAGCCAAGTGCAGTTACACAATGTGTTTCTTCTGAAGCAAGGTCATAGTAAAGAGCTCTTGTTCCAGTTAGAATCACAGATTCATTGAAGGGTTTGGGTTGGACAGGACCTTTAAAGATCATCTAGTTCCAGCTCCCCTGTTGTGGGCAGGGACATCTTTTACTAGATCAGGTTGCTCAAAGGAATTACATTTCACCTTTTCTTTTTTTTTTTCTGTCATAGTCCTTCTAAAATCTACCCTAAGACCTTGTATGTGACCAAGATGGCACTTAAAAACTGGCATTTACGTATATCAACCTTTTTTACCCCTTCGTAAACCAAGGAACCAGTCATGCTTTCTTTTGCCACATTGTAGCACAATGCTCATGACACATTTATTAAACACCATTATAGGTTCTTCAATAGTTTGTCTGTCTTCTTAGAATTTTGTAAAGGAAATTACTCTGTATCACCTTCCAACTGGAATGTTGTTTTTACCTTTGCTGTACAACTTGTATTTTCAGGCCTTCTTTTCCATCTTTAAGCCTCCACAATTAGTGTTGTCCTTACTAAAAGGTGGAACAAAGTGCTAATTTAGTTCAAGAGCCATTCCTAGATCATTATTAATCTCTCCCACATTCTCTGCATTGTAGCCTTCCTTTGTAATTTGTTTTCTTTGCATTGAGACGACTGAAGACCATTTATGCTGCTCATTTCAGTATCTTTGCAATGTCTACATTAAGTTTAATTTTTGATCATTCTCAGTTTATTACTTTATCTCCCGATCTGGGGTGAGGATAAGGGACAATTGACAAGAGGTGATTGCAAAGTTTCAGCCGCTAATATGCAGTATGAGATTCAGTAGCCTAAGAACAATAAAGAGCCTAATCCTT